AATAATTTATCTTTAAATTAAAAGTTTATTATTTTTATATTATATATATATACAAAATTTTATAATAATGCTAAACGATTTATATCTCATTCATACAGATCAAAATTAATGCAATATATAAATTTTAAAATATATTAAAACATGAATAATTTGATTATATTTTAATTGTTGTTTAATTTTAACAAAATTTAGCATAAATATACAAGGTAATGTGAAATTATAATTTAATGGTTGGATTGACAAAATTCAATTTTAATATAAAGTTATAAGGTAATGTAATAGTTGGTGAAAGTTACACATGTTATTTGCTCCTTCATCTCTATATATATATATATATATATATATATATATAGATATAGAGAGAGAGAGAGAAGAGATTCGTTTACTTTAGGAGTAAGTCTACCTAGACTTACTCCATTAAATAACTCATGTTCTACATTAAATTCAATGGTCCAACTAGTGAATTTAAAGTTCTTAATGCATAAATTCAATCTACAAATTTTAAAAAAAATTTAAAAACCATTTGATACTTTATTTTATTAATTCAAATCGACAGATAATTATAAAATTATTTTATATATTGATTTAAATTTATGAAACAAAATATCAAATGACTTTCAAATTTTTTTAAAATTTGCAAATTTGATTTATGTTTTAAGACTTTAAATTCAACAGTTGAATCGTTAAAATTTAATGTAGAACCATGAGTTATTGAACAGAGTAAGCCTAGATAGACTTACTCTTGGAATAAACGAATCCTTCCTTATATATATATATAGAGAGAGAGAGAGAGGAGGATTCAAACGACACCGGTGTAACTTTTACTAAGTGTTACACCCCTCAATAACTTTATATTAAATATGAATTTTGAAAATTCAACTGTTAGATTGAAAGTTCATATCTCTTAGATCATATATATCAAATTTTATATTTAATTTATTAAGATGATTTGATACCATATATATATATATATATATATATATATATATATATAACTCAAATGACAATGAATAAACAAATTTAAAAGGCTTATTTAACCTGCTAAAAATTTATTTAATTTTCTTTTTTAGTTTAAGGCGACCAATGAAACATCATTATCATTTTCGGGAACAAAGTAACTATTTACTTATATATCCTTCTTTCATTCAATGAATTTGGAATTTTGTACCTAAACAAATAAAATTTATCAGTTGTGACGCATGCAGTGTCATGTCATTGTTAGACAAATTTAAAACAAAAATGCTTAATCTACGATAATTCTGGGCATAACATAACTATAACTTTAGCTAAGCCTATGTTAGCTATCATTCAAATGGGATTGTCCCTTACAATGAATTCACTTTGAGGGATAGGATGTTGATTGTTGCACATGGGCAGGTCGAAAGGAGTGCAATGAAAATACTGACAACTTGATATGAAACCCAAACATATATTTATTCAAACTATAATTAAATTGATCAGAATTTGATATGTGACTTTGAATATAAATAAATTATATTAAAAAAAAAAGTATAAAATATATTATGTTGAGAGTGAAATATCCATCTTATATACATTTATGATATTCAATAGATATTAATCATTACTTCAAGCGACAAATATGTTGTATCTATAGGTTATACTATGATTAAAAATAATAATAATAATAATAATAATTAAATAAAATCATGGAGCAAAGTGGGGTCTCAATTCGAATGACTTTACTCAATCACTTTTCCATGTTACTAGGTCAGGTACCACAAGTGCTAGGCAAATTGGTGCAACTAAACTTTAACTTTCACATAGCAGTATGCTATTGAACTTGCCATTGGATTTATTTTATGCTTGGAAACAATACTAGTGGAACAATATGCAATCAAGTATTAGCAAGCACATGGAAACATGCACATGAGACCTCAACCAAATATCAATCATTTCTTCATCCCTATAAATTCCCTTCCTCCTCCCATAACCCTTTCTCTTAATATCTCATGTCTCTCTTTTCTGGCTTTACTCTGGTTTGATATGCCATTTCTATACTTCGGTAGTATTGTAGTAAAAAACCATTGGCAAAGACATAACACAAAAGAGTGCAAAAAGTAGGTATCTCTTTCTTTCTCTGCCTAGATCCCTTTTAGTATCTCTTCTTTCCTTTCAATTTGGTTCTTTCTTTATGTTTGATGAGTATATAATATATTTCATGCAAAGATCATGCAGGGCTTCAAGCTGAAGGAGAGAAAAATCCTGAGAAAGATCTTAAGCATTGATAACTTCAAACAAGAAAATAAAAATCCGAAAAAGGAAAGTTGTAGTTTGAATCAAGCAACAGCAAAATCAAGATGTTTCTATCATCAAACCAAAAAGTATGAGGTTATAATAGTATAAATTCTTAAACAATTGTTCCATGTTACTTTATTCCTGTTCTGGCTTTGTTTAGTATAATATTATACTTCCTCGAATGCAACTCTGATTTGAATATGAATGTGCACTAGGATCTTTGTTGGTTCTTGGAATATTGGAGGCATTACACCACCCAAGAACTTGGACATGGAAGACTGGCTTGACACAAAAAATAGTTCAGCTGATATTTATGTTCTGGGGTAATTTTTTAATGTTATTAGTTTAGATATGTCTTTAATCTCTTAAATATCAAATAATTTTGATTTTGGTTCCTCAAACTTAAAATTAACATTTTTAGTTCCAGTAACTTGAAAGAAACAAAACTTATTTTAGCTCTTTTGTTCAAATATCATTAATGAATATGTGAAATAAAACCCAAGTATTATTGAATCTGTCACACAATTCTTTTTATGAGGTCATTTTTTGTAAAAGCATCATATTATATCCAAGTGATGCTACACAATTGACTTAATTTGTTACTGTGTGTGATTTTGCTAGTGTTAAGACTAAAATAAATTTTTTTGAAATTATAAGGACTTAAAAGATCAATTTTAAATTTGAGAGATCAATAATAAATTTATTATAAATTTGAGAGATTAAAAATATATTTAAGTCTTTGTCTCTTAAGACATATGTGAGAGAATCAAACTACATATGGACTAAACAGTTATATTCCTATCATTTCATTATGTGTGTTATACCAGGTTCCAAGAAATTGTACCTCTAAATGCAACAAATGTATTAGGTCCCCCAAACAGAAAAGTTCCTAGTAAATGGAATTCTCTAATTGGGGCAGCCCTTAACAATAGAACACCAACAAAGGTGGTTCAAGAAGATAAAATAGTTGAACCTCAGAAGATATATCCGTTGAGGGAACACATTTGCACTGAGGGAGAACATGGACGAGAATATTTTCAGTGCATCATAAGCAGGCAAATGGTGGGAATGTTCATTACCATATGGGTTAGATGTGACCTCTATCAAGCTATCAGACACTTGAGTGTCTCATCTGTTGGTTGTGGAATCCTGGGTTGCTTAGGAAACAAGGTCTGTTTTGACATTAACCAAATAAATACATGTTTGAGATTTTAGATACTAGTTTGGAAACATTAATATGATTTCTTAATTCTTTTTTATTTTTCTTAAAATACAGGGTTCAATATCAATTAGATTTTATTTGCATGAAACAAGCTTCTGCTTTATATGTAGTCATCTAGCATCTGGTGGGAAAGAAGTAGACCGAAGACAAAGAAATATTAATGCAACTGATATATTATCCAGAACAATCTTCCCTTCTGGTCCTTTGAATGATATGCCTCAAAAAATTATTGATCATGAGTAAGTATATTCTGAATTTTGTATATTATTGTCGGGAACTATCATTCAAGTTGAAGGAATAAGTCATCAACTAGAAGGCATTTTTTTAAAACAATGAAGATATTCTATCATTATATATTAGAACTGTAACTATTTCCAATTTCCTCAAACATTGATTTTTGGTTTGAAACATTTAATTAATTTTGGATCTGTAAACCATGACACTATTAATATTATCTTCTGTAATAACAAATCCTTGATAAAAAAAACCTGAGCTTTTCTGGGATTGAAACCTGTATGGTGGATAATCAGTTTAGATGAGTTGAACATATTTAATAGAACTTCATCTAAAATAAGTACCTGGTTTCATGCAGCCGAGTAGTCTGGCTAGGCGACTTGAACTACAGGATCTATATGCAAGACTCTGCAACACAATCATTGATCAAGACAAGAGAGTGGGAAACATTGTTGAAACATGATCAGGTAAGGCTCATCATGTTATTTCTAGTTCTTGCATGGTAATATTTTGGATTAATTAATGTTGAGATCTCACATTAATCGGAGATACATCTAATATAGTAATAGTTTTTATAAGGCTTTGACGGTATCTACTTTATCAGTCAATTTTGTGGGATTCAATTAGATTTCAATCCCAAATTTTAAGTTAGTATTAGAGTCTATTTTGAATTTGTTATTAAGCACAAGGAAGTGTGTCTAGATCACACACCAACTAGATATATGACTAATATAATCATGCAGGACTTTAACAATTATTACTTTATAAATTGATTTTATGGAATTGAATTAGATCGTAAGACTAAATTCAAAGTGTTACTTACCACAATTCTTGAAGTTCAAGATTTAAAACCGGTTTAAGGCATTTTATGTTAATTCTTGAATGGCAAAGTTTTTTATCAAATAGTTTAGTTACAATAGTGTTCTAAGATCAAGATTTCAAACTCCATGCAAATTATATATAGCTCAAGATGGAGCTGATGGAGGGCCATGTGTTTCAAGGTTGGCATGAGGGAGCTATAGAGTTTCCACCAACATACAAGTACCAGCCAAATTCTAAAGATTACCAAGCTTGTGATCAGCAGCATGCGAGCAAAAAGAGGCGTTCTCCTGCATGGTAAGCATATATTAAACAATTTGGATCAGTCTCATTTCCCCGAAGAACATGATGGTGTATAAGAAAGAAAAGAAACAAATTTCCTTTAAGAGACATTTGGTACAATGAGACATTAGTTTCTCATATTTGATTTATTATTTAAAAGATAACATTCTTAAGACATTGTTTCCTTGAAATGTCTTTTATATAAATTTATACAAAATTATTCTCATGTGGAGATGAGATGAGATGAGACTTTAAGATTTCTGAGTTACTTTTATTTATACAAATATTTTGATTTTCATGTAACATATATACATATTTCTAAAAATATGTATGACTAAATAAATAGATCTTAATCATTCTTAAAAATCATTATTCACAATATTTATGATTCCTAAAAAAACATGATTACCAACACCTCGTAGGTGATACAGGTTATTACTTTTACATATGATGATATGTTATGAAAACGAGATAACCAAAGTTCCACTTGAAAATCATTCATATGAAGTATGAAGTTTTAGCAAGCATGGGATACTCTAACCACAAGATGGTGGTGCAGGTGTGATAGAATAATATGGTTTGGGAAGGGAATGAAGCAAATCCAATACAACAGGAGTGAATCAAGACTTTCTGATCATAGGCCTGTACGAGCAATGTTCACAGCTGACATTAAGGTCTCAGAGAATTGTATATGACTCAAAATAATTCAAAATCTTACAAAGGCATTTCGTCCAAGAGATTTCAGTTCTAACGGTACCATTTCTCAAATGGGGTTTTAGAATTCTAGGAAGACATGCATATGGTAGCTGCATTCTTTGTGTGACGTGATTATTTGTCTATTGGGATAAGCATTTGTAATTTATTTTTGGTCAGAATTCATAGGAAGCCCCAGCAAGAGTTGTTCTCAATATTTTTTGAAGGGAGAACATGGAGACCTGGAGATGAAGCATAGCAATTTGTTCAAATTCTGTATTACTATGTTATGATACTGCTTAAAATGTATTTTGAACTCATAAGAAACTCGTATTAGGACTTACAAAGGGTATTTTCCAATGTAATGACAAAACAAAAACAGAGCTAAAAAAAAGCACATCAAAGTAATGGAATCCTACTTAGTATTTCATGAAAAATATATTTTTGTTTAAAAAAAGTTGAATTTAAACAGAGGAGTGACTACCATAAAGTTATTGTTAACTCGGAGAATTGGTCTCATAAGTAGTTAAAAATAAAAGAATGTGATCGTGTGCAATTATTGATATGTAGTTAATGAGGTTGTAAGGTTATTAAAATATTTAACACAAGTAGTTAATAATATCATGTAATTATTGAAATATCTAATGGTGATTAATATTATCTCACATGTGGATAATTTTATTCACATAGATAGATTTCATTTGAGCCATTTCACATAGATAGTTTATAAAATTATTATAAAAAAAATCTTATAATAGAGAAAATATCATTTAAGGAGACAAAAGTAATTAAAATTTATTTATATTTAAAAATAAAAAATATTTTTTTTCTTCTTATAATAGAGAATAGTAGAGATGACAAATAAACCCGTACCCGTGGGTAATACCCGAACCCGTCCCGACTTTGACGAGGAATACCCGGTTTGACCGAGTACGGGTACGGGTACGAGTAAAACCCGATAAATTAAACCGGGTACGGGTACGGGTATTGGTATATACATACTCGCCCCGTACCCGTATCCATACCCATAC